TAAGGAATAGGCTGGATTTTATTCAAGCCCCAATGGAATGGAAATAAAATGATGCGGTTGTGCCATCTAGTGGCAATGAAACAAAAAAGCCAGGATGGGACTGAACTACCTACCCCAGGCCAGCGAGTGTCCTCCAGGCTCTGGGAGAAAAGGAGGCTTCTTTCCAGTTCCCAGAATCCTTGGTCTCCAGGGCAGGGTGGGTGGGCAGTCTGTCCTCAATTACAGATGGGTATTGGGTGTTACTGCTCCCTAAAATGCCTTACAAAACAGTAATTCTGAGGCCTTGGAGAAAGGTGCTGGGGATGGGATGGGAGGAAGAAGGGGCCTGCCATCAGCTGCAGGGAGCACCCTGATTATTCCGAAAGACAGCATCACTGTTGAGCTTAAGTCCCATGAGAGCAAAGCAAACACCTGTTCAAGGAGGTAAACACAGCACTGGGCTTTGTGCCCTCTCCGCCCTCCTTCCCTTCCCATCATCCATCCAAGAATTTGAATCCATCCATCCATCCATCCATCCATCCATCCATCATCCATCCACCCTTCCATCCATCCACCCATCCATCATCCATCTATCCAAGAATTAGAATTCAAGATGGCTTTCACAGGGATATCAAATAACACATTTATTAATAGAAAATAAATGGTATCAGACCTTGACTGATGGAAAGCAAGTCTTGGGTGGCTGACCAGTTTGATAAGGAGAACTGGCTTTGTCCACTAAATTACACAGCAGACATTTCCCATAAACGAATAAACTCCATTTGTAGCAACAAGGTCTTAACAAAAAGAATATTTTTTAAAGCATATGGTCTAAAACCATTTTCCAAGAAGAAAAAACAAGGATACTAACAAACGTTCGTTAACGCTTTTTAAATTAACGTATCTCTGTGAGTATTTGGGCTAGACAAGTTGCTTCTAAGGAAAAGAGGAACAGGTTTGATTAACGGTTATTAGAGAAGTTTTGATAAAGCCTCTTTGGTGTATGTCCCAGAAACTGAAAATATAAGTGTCTCTAAGGGCTGAATAACAATTCTTTGAAAGTCAGGTAATTCCCAATTCTTAATTTTCAAAACAACTGAAGAAGGACCTAAATGAGTTGTCATTTTTTGACACAGAACTTGGAAGGAATTCAAAGAAGTAATGACATCAGTTGAACAAAACTCCTGCCCACCCCATGGATTTATTCATGGCTCCTCAGAGCTTCTATCTCTAAAAATAAAAAAAAATTAGGAAAAAGATGATACTAAATATCTTTCTTTCTAGCGATAAGTATTATTTGCTCACTTATTCATAAGCTAACTTTTAAGGCCAACCCATTCCATTATAGGTTGCAATTTCAACACAATTTCCATTTAACAATTATTTTGGTGACTAACAACTTAACAATGTGGATGAATAAAAGGGATTCTATGGGAAGTAATTTCACAGGGTGATCAGATCATAAATTCCAAACTGGGCAGGTCGCGGTGGGTAGTCATGCCCCAGGCCTATCACTTTTTTGTTTTTAATAATTTTGTATTTTTTCTATTATAGTTGATATACCATATTACATTCCTTTCAGGTGTACAATATAGTGATTAGACATTTATTTAACTTATGAAAAGATCACCCCAATAAGGTTAGAACCCACCCGGCACTATACACAGTTACTATAATATTATTGACTGTATTGTACTTTACCCCGTGACCATTTTTATAACTGGCAATTTGCACATCTTAATTCGTTCCCCTTTTTTACCCATTCCCCAAACACCCCTCCCATCTGGCAACCATCAAAATGTTTTCTGTATCTATGAATTTGTTTCTGTTTTGTTTGTTCCTTTGTTTTTTTAGATTCCACATCTAAATGAGATCATATAGTGTGTGTCTTTCTCGGTCTGACTTATTTCACTTAGCATAATACCCTCTAGATTCATCCATGTATTGTTGATGGCAAGCTTCCATTCTTTTTTATGGCTGAGTAATACTCCCATTGTATATATGTACCACATCTTCTTTATCCACTTGCCTATCAATGGAAATGTAGGTTTCCATATCTTGGCTATTGTAAATAAAGCTGCAATGAACATAGGATGCACATGTCTTTTCAAATGAGTGTTTTGGGTTTCTTCAGATAAATACCCCAAAGTGGAATTGCTGAGTGTTTGTTTTAAAATCTGCTTGTCTGGTATAAGTACTGCTAACTCAGCTTTTTTTTCATTTTTCATTTTCATGAACTATCTTTCTCCACCACTTCACTTTCAGTCTGTGTGTGTGTTTCAATATGAAGCGAGTCTAGTGGAATTGCTGAGTGTTTGTTTTAAAATCTACTTGTCTGGTATAAGTATTGCTAACTCAGCTTTTTTTTTTTTTTCCATTTTCATTTTCATGAACTATCTTGCCCGTTCAGCCTCGCCCCACAGCCAGGTAATTCAGTTCCTCCAGGTATGTCCCTGTGTTTTTTGAGCTACTGTCCCTACTCTGGGCCCTTTAAGAGGATGCCTGGGATTTGAGTAGCCTTCTGTCTCACCCAGAATCTCCACTGATTTTCACAGCCAGATGATGTGGGGACTCCTCTTCCTGCACTGGTGATCAGGGCTGGGGAGGGAGCCCTCACCCCTCAAGGGGGACCTTCTAGCCAAGTTATCCTCCTGATTCTTAACCACCACACATACCAGTAGGTGTGGGACCAGCCAGTTCCGTGTCTCTGCCCCTCCTACCAGTCAAAATGTGGCTTCTTCTTTATATCCTTAATTGTAGGACTGCTGTTTAGCTAGATTTCAGGTGGTTCTGAATGATAGTTGTTCGTAATTTAGGTATAATTTTGATGTGGCTGTGGGAGGTTCAGAGTATCATTTACCTTAACCATCACCTTGACTAAGTCTCCAGGCCTATGACTTCTTTAGTTTTAAGCCAGCCCTTCCATTGTTCTTGTGCATCTAAGTTAACACACCTTTGAAATGCCAGAAGTCATACCCCTTGGAGGGGGTATTAACCCTCAAGAGAGCACATAATGTTAACTGTCCGTAATCCAATCTTTGCCTTGTTTTATCCCACCTCCATGTATTTCCTTCCTTAATGTCAAATGCATAAGAGAAACTGAAAAACTGTTATTCTCCAGAGCATTTGAGATCTTGCTTCCTGGCATTTGTCATCAGTTTGCCCCAAATAAACTTATAAGAATTATCCACAGGTTTGAACATTTCTTATGTTGACAATAATGCTAATGATTTATCAATATTTATTTGTTTAGATCAACTATGAATTCATAGCTGGAATAGTAACTTAATCTACAAGAAATTAATAGTATGAATTTAGATTCCACTGGATAGGTTTAAAGGAGTGATTTTTAAATGTCAATATTTACAATACACTATTCATTTTCATAGTTTCTGGAAAGTACATCAAAAGACTCATATGCTAAGACTCATAAAATGATTATTACTTGATTTCTGTTCCTCTTTCACTTCAAACCAATCTGCTTAACCCAAATACTCAAGAGTTGGAAAACTGAAATAGTATTACATTTTTGTAACTATTTTGACAAGAAATTTAGGTATCATCTTAAAAATGTATGAGGGGGATGTGTGTAGCCTGACATTATTTGGTAGGGTGGGGTCTGTAAGCAAAAACATTCGAAAGCCACTGCTCTAAAGGGCTTGTAATAGTTTAGCCTGGACCAAATGACCATATGCCTTTAAAATTTTCAGGAGCTGGAACTTTATTTTCTGGCCATTTCATTGGGTGTTCTTGACCCTAAATGGCAGCCAGTAAATGCCAATGGAATTCAGGTCCAGGATCCTGGGGTCTTCCCACTTTTCTGAGTTTTGTCTGGGATGGTATGACCCGAAGCTCTCTCCAGGATGTTTCAGGGAGCCATGCTGCCCCTCCTCACCAGCTCTTCCCATCCTGAGTGCTGCCTGGGAGCCCCTCCTAACCTCAACTATAACCCCCCCCACCCCCCCCCGCTGTCCCTCCCAGGTGGAGCTTGGCTTAGGACAGGGGTCCTCAAACTATGGCCCGTGGGCCACATGCAAATACAAATATTGTATTTGTTCCCCTTTTGTTTTTTTACTTCAAAATAAGATATGTGCAGTGTGCATAGGAATTTGTTCATAGTTTTTTTTAAAACTATAGTCCGGCCCTCCAACGGTCTGAGGGACAGTGAACTGGCCCCCTGTTTAAAAAGTTTGAGGACCCCTGGCTTAGGAGCTATCAAGAAGTCTGATGCTTCTGACCCACAGACTAGTTCCCGTGTCTTTCAGGAAGCCCCACTCACTTGCCCGTCTGAGACCAGGGTTAAGGTGAGGTCTGAGGCTCCTCCACGTCTCTGCAGCCCTACTTCTAAATGGGAAGCACAGCAGAACCATGAAATGGGTGGGTGAAGCTGGCACCACCTGGGTTCTAATCTCAGCTCTACCATTTTTAACTGTCTTCACAAAGGCAAGCTATTAGACCTCTTAGCACCTCAGTTTTCCTACCTATTAAATGGTGATAGCAATACAACCATTTCCTGGGGTTATAAGGACTGCATGCAATACTGAGCTGGCGTACAAGAGTTTAATACACCAAGTGATTATTATTAATATTAAATGTGAGATTGAGAATTTATAAGTAAACTCAGTAAGGGAAAAAGTGGGACTCAGTAGACAGGATGCTCCCCTTTCAGTGGAGCGCCTCTGAAGGCACAGGGTGGGAGTAGAGCCTGGGCTCACCCCAACAACTATGGCTGCAAGTCACCTCTGGCAAGGGTAGCCCCTCAATCCTGGGCAGCTGCCACCCAGACACACAGCCTCTGGGCAGGAGACTCCATGGCTTGCTTTTCCCCCACACCTGGGCTTGTCCCAGGAACACAGGAGTACACGGGGGAACCGAGTCACACAGAGCCAGCAGGACCCTGTGCAAACCTCCCCTGCACAGCGTAAACCCTCTTCCCTGAGTATCCCCCTCCCCGTGGGTGGGTGGAAAAAGCAGAGAAGTGGCCCAGGCCCCTGATTAACCCAGCCAGGAAGGAAACTTACCTCCGGATTAAGGACACAACGGAGGACCGATCTGGCTTAGCATCAATTGCATCTTCACTTGCTGACTCCCCAGCTCCCTGCTCCCCGACAGAGTTTTGATCGACAGAATTTTGATCGTCTGCCATCTGGGAGGAGAAAAACAAAACAGAACATTGGTATCCAGTGTGATGTTTTTAAATAACACTCAGTAGGTGACGAGGATTTTACTTAAGCTTAGAGATAAGCACTCATGCACACAGAGGCTCCAGGGCTGCGCTCCTGCCCCATCAATTCATTCAAATGCCTGAATGCTAACTCTATTCCAGGCATTGTTCCAGAGACGGTATACAGTGGGGAAGAAAACCAAGTCCTTGTCCTCAGGGAGCTTCCACTAGTAATCCAGCATCCATGATTTTGTTCAATGTTCCTTGTGTAAGAGAAGCTGTGGAAGGAACGTTAAGGTTTGTAACAAGAATTCCTGGATTCCTGACAGGTGATAAGGTGCTTATCCTTTGCCAGGTATCGCTCAAACCCAGTTCAAAAAAAGGAGCAAACTGCAGTATAAAACTCTCTTTCTGCTTCACAGGATTTCCCATGGTTTTCCCAGAACAGATTTCCTCAAATCTGTCTGGGGCTCGATCGTTTTTAAGAGATCCCTAGAATATACAATTTCAAATCTAACCCCACTCCTTCGACTTCAAGGCCCTTCAAACTATGGCCCGCCACCAGTTTTTGTAAGGAAAGTTTTATTGGAACACAGCCTTACCCATTCATTGATGATCTGTCTGTGGCTGCTTTTCCCACCACAATCAGAGTTGAGCAATTGTGGCAAGAGATAATATGGCCCATAAGCTGAAAATATTCACTACCTGGCCCTTTACAAAACAGGTGCGCTGACTCCTGACCTAGGAAAATATCAGCCGATAAGATCCCCTACTCACCTCCAACTCCCTCTAAGAAGTAAAAATAACAATATAAGAATAGAAATTCACATTTAATGTTGTTTTAGAAGCATTATCTTTTTTTAATACTGCCAATAAATGCTGTTAGGTCAGTCTTTTGATAATTGCCCTTTAAAAAAAATTTTTTTGATTGATTTTAGAGAGAGCGGAAGGGAGAGAGAGGGAGGGGGAGAGAGAGAGAGAGAAAGAGAGGAGAGAGATCGATTTGTTGTTCCACTTATTTATGCATTCATTGGTTGATTCTTGTATGTGCCCTGACGGGATCAAACCCGCAACCTTGGTGTATCAGGACGACACTCTAACCAACTGAGCTACCTGGACAAAGCAATAATTGCCTTTTGACAGATGAGGAAGCCGAGGCTGAGAAAGGCTAATAACTTGTTCCAGGCCACATAACTAGTAAATAGTAGGACTCAGACCTTTAGCCAGCAACAGGCACTCCAGAGACCACCCCTCACCATCATACCATTCAGCTCCCAGCTCCCTTGGGCACACTATGCTCATCTCAGGTTCTGTCTGGACTCATTCATGGTTGGTTCTCTTTCTAGAAGTCAGCACCCACATGGTTGCTGGATAAACCCTCTTTGCCCAGCTGGCTACTTCTCAATCTTCAGAATTCAGCGTAAATGACACCTCTGCAGAAAGGTCCTCCTGGATTACTCCTATCCCACCAGTCCCCGTCTCCCCCCGCCCCCCCAATTCCTATTCCCTTTACAGCCCTTGTGTTTGTCTTTTTTTTTTGCACTCTGCTTACTGCTTGGCTCAAACACGACAATGTAAGCTCATCACGGCACAGGCTCCTGGCACACAGAGGTGCTTCCTAAATAAATATTAATTGAATGAAAAGCTGGAGGAGAATTTGCTAGAAGTGATGCAGCTGGTCAGAAGCAGAGCCTGCTTTCGAGTCCTTTGCCCTAAATCAAGTCCCGTTTCCTTCCCCGTGAAGGGATCGGCTCTCCAGAAGGAAGGCACCCCTCCTCCAGACCCTAAGTCTACTGGCCTCCATCTCTGAGCCACTGCACAGAGCACAACACGATTGGCAGATGCAAGTCTGCATTCCTGCTGGGCTCACTTGGGATGTTTGCCAGATGAGGAAGCTGAGGCCGAAGACGGTTAACTTGACATTGATTTGGCAGAACGTACTGTGTCCCAGAGCACAAGTAATGCCTTTTGGAAGGTGGGGAGGAGAAGGAATCCAGCTTAGGGGGACGTGTCCAAGATGGCAAAGCACACCTAGCTGCCTGGAGCTCTACGTGGCATTATCATGTCACGTTCCAGCTTCCCTTAGGGCCAAGCTGGACAGTGAGTAGAGACAGAGGGGGAGTCTGCCCAGATCTCTACAATGACCTTGAGAAGTCAGATGGCCATGCTGTTTCTCAACACATCACGAAGGCCCCCCACCATGGCCACCAACGTGTTTCCAGTTCAGAGGCAGTTAGATTTTTTCAGATCGGGACTCAAAATGTTTCTCGAAACCAAGAGATAAAACCCTATCCTCAGAGAGAAGGGTAAATCCGGGTACACAGAGGTGCTCAATAGTTTTTATTTCATCTCCTTCATACAGACTTAATTACTTTTCAATGTGGATTGGTATTTAGCAAAGCACCGAAATATTTTCAAAATTAGCATGAAAAGTTATACATGATCCACCAGAAAAAGACACTAACTTCACCATGTGGTGTATAAGCCTTGAGCCTTTTGATATCGCTAATCTTAGAGGCTGGATCTAGGCTGTATGATGATAAAACGATGTGACCACTGTATTAAAAAAAACAAAAACAAAAAAAGAACGCTTAGCAAAATGGCTCCTGTGAAAGGCAAACATTTAACATGTTGGCACGGCTGAGAAGACTCATCGATGACTGTGTACTTGATGTCTCATGCGCCAGGTTGCGTGCTGAGACATGGGGATATACTTTGGAGCACAGACCAGGTCCTGCCTTTTTGGGGAAAAGGCATCGTTCCCGTAACAGGAAGCCGCAAATGTGGGGCTGCTGTTGGGTGTGTGCGAGTATCAGAGGGGCTGACTAAGCTTCAGAGGAATTGGAGAAGGTCTCAGCCGAGGAAATGTCTGACCAGAGATCTGAGAAGGGTAAGAAGGGAGAAGTGAGCAGGCAGAGAAAAGTGCACACTCATGGAACATCTGACCTGCATCATCAAAGGAGAAGTGTGGCTCATACTCCTTCCCGGACACTTGGGAGGGGGCTTTGGGCTTAGCTACAGAGTGGTGAAGTTCAGGCTGATTTCCATAGCTCAGTAGTGGGAATTTTCCAAAGATTTCCCTCCAGACACTGTGCCAGAAGGGTGTTCTGTAGGAAATCTACAGCATCTTTCTGGGTTAATGCTGAACAGTCTGGGAGGGGGGGAGGGGGGGCAGCAAACATTCCTTCTAACAACCCGCTGGAGTGTACGTCTAAAACAAGCTAGCGTGGTGGACTTGGCCCTTGTAAGTCTGCAAGCCTAAACATTCAGTGACTTTCTGAAGCCTGTGACACTGGGCTTGATTTCTGAGTGAAACCAAGTTCACCCAGGGCAAGGGCAGTGGCCGAGTGGGGTGCCTGACCCCAGTCACATCATTTCAGTGAAGCCAAGTCTTGGTGTTCACCCCTTATTTCCATGTGTCCTCACGGCCCACCATGAAAATCCAGGCCTATCTCAGCTCTCCGGTCTCTGCTGAGGGCACACCTGGCCTTACTTGTCTGGATGTGTCCCCTGCTTGGGGCTCAGGCTCAAAGAGCGGTCATCATGGGATACTGCATACTCAACTGTTAAATACATCTACCTTCTCTTAAATAAATTCCTGTACAATATACACAAAGCATTAATAGTGTACATCTACAGGCACTCTAGGTTAATTATTACTATTATCCATTATGAGTCAAGCTATTTGCAGACCGAGAGCTTATCTTAATGATCCTTTCTTTGGTTCCAGTCACAGAAAAGAGCCAGGTACACGGCAGGCACGCAATACATTATTTCTTTATAAATGCTGTAACGGAAAGGCACTTAAAATTTTTAAATTCTTCAGAGTCCCAAATAAACTGTGGATGCAAGACACGCAACAGAACTAAAGGGGCCCAGGGAGGGCCGCGGAGAGCCCAGTCAGGGTAAACAGAAGATCAGGGGCTGAATCAGCTCCTCCACCTATTAGCCATAGGACCTTGAACAAAGTACTCAGTTTTCTCATCTGTAAAGTGGGCAAACAACAATGCCTCCGTCACAGGTGGCTGTTGGCTGATAGAAACAATGCATGTAAAGTGCAAAGCACAGCGCAGCACATTCTAAATGCTCAATCAATATTCCCTATTATCACCACTGCCTGAGCTGCTCAAGACCAAAGTAACCTTCAACTATCAATCTTCACTGGTATTTTAAAATTACACCCATATGTTAAGCAGCTTTTATGGAAACAAAACTAAAACCCTCCAGTGATTATGTCCACGCACGCTTCGTTGGCGACTGGTACACATCTGGCAGGAAATCACTTTTTTTAATGGCGGGGAGGGGGTGCAGGTGCTTTCTCCAAAAAAAAAAAAAATGACATAATATATCTTACACCCCATTCTTGGCCCCAGTGAAGACAATCTTCCGGAAAGGCTCCAAGAGAAGCAGCTCTGAGGACCTCCACCTCTTACCTCCCGCACTGGAGAAGGAGGGGGGGCTCAGGTACCGCGCTGTCACCTGATGCTCAGGCACTGACAGGAGACTGGAGCCTTCGCCTGTATTGCACCTGCCTAAAGCCACACAGCTAAGAAGGCAGAAGCAGACTGTGAATCTAGGAAACACCTGCCTATCAAGGAGGAAGGCCAGGCTGTGTAGATCCTTCCAGAGGAAACAGCCTTAAAGAAGAAGTTAGGGCCAAGCTGCCAGCCAGCCCAGACGTTCAATCTAAGCCTAGGAAAAGGCTTGGTTGGGCATGACTCACACACAACCCCCCAGAGGTAATTTTACTGCCCCATCAATGGATAGCTTGAATACAATGGTGAAAGGTTACCAGGTGCCTGGCAGCCCTGCCTTTTTTCACTTCCTCAAGGCATCTTCAAGGGCCCAGCACAAGGGCACCCCAACAATGACAGCTCACGTGTAGCAATACTAAGCCTCGCCCGAGGCACTGCTATGCGCCCTAATCAGCTCCTCCCATCCTCGCTGCAGCCTTTAGCCTGGGCTCATCATCACTCCCATTGAACCGAGAGGCCAAGGCCCCATGGCTGGCAAGCAGGGAGGCGGGGACTGGAACCTCCAGCCCGTGACACGGGAGCCCTGGCTGTCAGCCCTGCGAGAACCGCTCCTTCCCTTCTAAACCCACCTCTCCTTTCCCCAAACTGACTAGTACCGGGTGACGCCAGCCCGCTGGCTAGGAGGGAAAGGAGAACAAGCAAATCCAAGCGAGCGATGCGCGGACAGCCCTCTCCCCAAAGTTGCAGCGCAAGCGGTCGGGCCGCCCGACCAGCGCACGGGACCCAGCTTCTCGCGGACTGCGGTCCCGGCGGCCGGAAGAGCGC